CCCCCCCAGCCTGCTCCAGCTCCTGCCCCAGATGCGCCAGCACCTGCTGCTGATTCGGGGCCAGCCCGGGGCCAGCCTGAGCCGCCTCTGGGAGGCCGGCTACTTCCCTGTCTACATCAACAACCTGCAGCGCAAGGACAAGCAGGCCACCAAGCTCTTCAAGGGAGACCCGGATGGAATTTTCCAGGAGGGGTCGGCCTCCAGGTACTGGCCCCAAGGCGGCACCGTGGGGCAAGGAGGCAGGGAGAGATGGGCTAGCAGAGGGCTGCAGGTCGGGAGTGAGGGGCACCAGCAGAGCTGGGGGGGAGGCAGAGCTGAGCTAGCAGGGGTGTGCGAGTCGGGAGTGAGGGGCACTGGCAGAGGTGTGGGGATGTGAGGAGCCCAGGGCTGGGATAGTCGGGGGGCTGCGGGTCAGGAGTGAGGGGCACTGGCCGAGCTAGGTGGGGGGAGCCCAGGGCTGGGATAGCAGGGTGAGGGGAACCGGCAGAGCTGAGGGAGGGACCCCAGGGCTGGGATAGTCAGGGGGCTGCGGATCGGGAGTGAGGGGCACCTGCCCGTAGGGAGAGGCTGGCCGCGCCTGTTGGACTCTGGTGAAAGGGTGTGGCCCCGAGTTACTCAGTAACCAGCTCCTATCGCAGCGGAAGCAGAAAAAGAACCAACAACAGAAAACGCCCAGATCCAGTGGCCCTGGCTCCCCGCACTCCCAACCCCCCCCCACCCCGGCCGGGGTTCCCCCCAACTCTGCTGATGCCCCTCACTCCCGACCCGCAGCCCCCACATCCCAGACTGGGTTCCCCACCCAGCTCTGCTGGTGCCCCTCACTCCCGACCCACAGCCCCCCCCATCCCAGCCTGGGTTCCCCCACCCAGCTCTGCTGGTGCCCCTCACTCCCGACCTCTCCCCAACATACAAACCATCTTCTTTCCTTCCCAGTGTCTGTTTCTGGGTGCCTGGAGTGGAGATTGTGGGGTGGGGCAGGTGACAGTCCGTCTTCCCCCCAGCCTGGGGTTGTCTGGCTCCAGCAGCAGCGTCTCTGGGCCTCTTTGATGCTGCAGAGAAACTGCCCCTCTCCCCTTCCTGTCCGTCCGCCCCCCAAGTGTTTCCTGTTGACTGTGGTGGGGGAGGGGAGAGTGGACCCCATTCTCACCCCTGCTCCCATCTCTCCCCCAGGAGGAAGCTGATCAAGCTGTCGCTGATCTTCAGCCACATGCTGGGAGAGCTCCGAGCCCTGATCCCCGACGGGCAGGACCAGGGGCACCAGTACCGGCCCAGCCAGCCGCCCGCCGAGGCCTTCTGGAGAGGGACATGGGGGGCACGGTGAGATCCCTGATACCTCCATTCCCCAGCTACCCCCCACTATTCCCCTCCCAGCCCCCTGCTGAGACATGGACTCCCCGGTATCCCTGTCCCACTGCCCTCCTCCCCCTGCTTGCCCCCCAGATACCCCCCTTCTTCCCCAGGGTCTCCCAACCTGCTACTTCCAACCCCCCCATCAGCCCCATGGGCCCATCCCCTATCACTGCCCCCTGCCCCCACAGGAGCCTGGTGTCATGGAGCGAGTTCCAGGTGGGGCTGCAGCGGGTTCACCCCGTGGCGCCCGGCCCCATGGCCGCGGCCCTGAGAGCCACCATGGACCTGACCTGCAGCGACCACGTGTCCATCTTCGAGTTCGACATCTTCACCCGCCTCTTCCAGGTACGGGCGGGGGGAGGCGGGGCTGGACACGGGGGGCCAAGCTGGGGAGATGAGGGCTAGGAGGGGCAGCCCTCCCCCGCACACCTGCTTCCTCCATCCTTCCCCTCCCCAGCCCGTCCTCCATCCCCTCACCTGTCTCTCCTCTGGGCTCCATGGGCCCAGATTGCGGGGGGTGGGGGCGGGGGCGCAGGCGGTGGCAGCTGCTGTGGCCAATCCCCCACAATGCCCCTCCAGTCGGCTTCGCTCTAGTCTCTGCCCCACCCCCACCTTCGAGCAGGGCCAGGTGTTGGCCTTGATCCCCAGCAGGATGTGGCGTGTCTGTCCCCGCTCGAGCTGAGCTGACCCGTGGGCGGGTGGGGGGAAACACTGCCAGGGGCGGGTGGGCGGGAGGCCTGAGGGTTTCCGGCTCAGCAGCAGCAGCGCTGCAGCGGGGTGGGGGTGGGGGTGGGGGAGAGACGCAGGGCAGATGGGACGGGGGGGTCGCCCCCTGGCAGCACAGAAAGGCAATGGGGGTCTCGGGGGCAAGACCTCGGCGTCCAGCGCGACCCTTGTGCCCCTGCAGCCTTGGCCCACGCTGCTGAAGAACTGGACGCACCTGGCAGTGACGCACCCGGGCTACGTGGCCTTCCTGACCTACGACGAAGTGAGGGCGCGGCTGCAAACCTATTCCAACAAGCCGGGCAGGTAGGGACCCTGGGGGGAGGGGAGTGGGGAGCGCCCCCTGCTGGCCCCCTGCCCCACTCCCTGCAGCACAGGCCCCCTAGTGCCCATTGGGGCCAGCACTGACTGCCAAGGGAGAGCGCCCCCCGCTGAGCCCCCCACCCTGGTCCCTGCAGCACAGGCCCCCTAGTGCCCCACTGGGGCCAGCACTGACTGCCAGGGGAGAGCACCCCCAGCCCCCTGCCCCACTCCCTGCAGCCCAGGCCTCCAGGTCAATGGGGCCAGCACTGACTGCCAGGGGAGAGTGCCCCCCACTGACCCCCCACCCCGCTCCCTGCAGCCTCTACCCCCTTGCGCCCCCCTCAGGCTTTGGGGTCACCCCCTGCCACTGACCCCGTTTCCCCCCCAGTTACGTGTTTCGGCTCAGCTGCACGCGGCTGGGGCAGTGGGCCATCGGCTACGTGAGCCGGGACGGCAGCATCCTGCAGACCATCCCCCAGGACAGACCCCTCTTCCAGGCGCTGATCGAGGGGCACAAGGAGGGCTAGTGAGTGGGGGTCTGGCAGGGAGTGGGGCGGCCGAGGGTGTGACGGAGTGGGGCAAGCTGGGGGCCCTGCTGGGCAGATTGGGGCGGAGGCCTGGGGGGCAGAATCCGGTTATGTGCCCGGAGCCTGGTGTGGTCTGGAACTTGGGCCCGGGTGATTGTGGGTCTGGATTTGGTGAGTCAGTTCTGGTCAGGGACGTGTGGGTTTCATTCTGGGTCAGTTCGGGCCCAGGTTACTCAGATTTTGGGAGCACTGATGCCGACCCGCTGGGTCCTGGTGTGGATCTGTGGGGGGTTCTGGTTGGACCAGGCTGGTTCTGACAGTTTCCGCCCCCCCACCTCCCCCAGTTACCTGTATCCAGATGGGAAGAACGTGAATCCGGACCTGACGGAGCTGACAGAACCGACGCCTCAGAACCGGATCGAGGTCTCACCGGTCAGTACCGGGGCTGCTCCACCCCAGCCATGCCCCCACCCTGAGCCCCCTGTCCTGGTGCCCTCCCAGCCCCCTGGGCCAAGCCCAGCCTCACCCTCCTTCTCCCCCAGGACCAAGCCCAGCTCTACTCCCAGATGGGATCCACTTTCCAGCTCTGTAAAATCTGCGCCGAGAACGACAAGGACGTTCGGCTCCAGCCATGCGGGCACCTGCTGTGCAGGGACTGCCTGAATGCCTGGCAGGTGAGTCTGACCTCTGACCCCTGACCCCTGCTGTGCGGGGACTGCCCGAACGCCTGGCAGGTGAGCCTGACCTCTGACCCCTGACCCCTGCTGTGCAGGGACTGC